TGGATCCAAGAACAGGGGACAAAGTAAACATGGGTTTTTTAATAGTAGAACCTACATCACACTGGCATTTTATTATGTAATTTACGTGAGCAAACATTTACCTAATTAGGGTAAACACAATTAGGAAAATACACTTTAGTGAACTCCAATGAAACATTTTACAAATTACACACACGGGGGGGAGGTACTCTTCACTTTAAAACATGCTTTAATAAATAGTTTACATATTTAAGAATTTAGCTTGAAATATAAATGCAAAAAATATATATACTGCACTCCTCCATTCCCAGAAGTAAAATTACAATATAATGTAACACAGAATAACAATGATTCTTCTTTGAAAAATGGGATTGAATGATTCATTATCACATGAAAGAATATTCTTTCAAATGAATTGAGAACATTCGTAAATGAAAAATGACAGAAATAAGGTTTCTTTGGTATCAATGATGTTAAAATAACATTACAATTTTGTTCACTATGAGCTGATTTTGTTGTCAGTGTACAATGCTCATTCTGTCAAACATTTTATTCACCAACAGCTTATTGCTCAACTAAACAACATGACATAATTATGTAACAAATGTTATTATCGGGGTAATAGTAACAAAGTTGTGTTCATCAAATGAGTGCATCTCTTGTATACAAGAGTAAATAAGTTATAATAAACATATGTGGTCACAGTAAAGTACTGGACCAGTTCCATCATATGATCATTCAGATCACAGATGCATGGCAAGTGTTAATGTGATTAAAACTATCATTTATCACAAAAAGATATCAACAGTCAGTTGCTGTCACTTAAAAAAAGAGAATACATCAATAGAAGATGTCACAGATAGATAGTCATTGAATTTCTTAAAAACAGCATTTGTAATCCTACTGGCAGTTTTGAAAAGAATATTCTTGATTGATTGACCGACTGACTGACTGACTGACTGACAAAAAAAAGTGGCACATTGGTTGATATAGCTCCAGTTTACTGCTACAAACTAAATAATTAGCATTAATAGTTTACATTAATTATTAATCTATTATTAAATGTCATACATTTGGTTTATCAGAGGGGTTGACTAATATAACACGTTTACTTGGAGGAAGGTCATACATGATCCACCATGTTGTACATGTGGGTCTCTCATGTTTCATTGGGAGCCTTCAACAAAATAGTCATATACCAAATGCAACAGTCACAATAGTTCAAAGTCAGAAGTCTTGCCTAATGGTGAAAATTACATTTTCATAGACTCTCCGGTAAGGTATTACATGCATTACAGTCATTTTCACGAAACTTCAAATGAGTATTGTTTAGGTAAATGTGATTCAAGTCTAATATATGCTGTCAAAGTCATCACCTGAATGAATCCAAGAATGTGGTGTTGAACAGCTACACTGGTTTGATAAGTCATCCATGGTGAGAACAATGAGAACTATGCTATTTCCGTCATTGTTGACGAGGGACAGATGCACTGGAAATTCAAAGAACGTATGTGAACTGAGTTCCCGTTTTCCAAAAAAATTTCTTTGAAATAACGAAGACTACTCTTATATTTTCACCAAACTGTGGCAGATAGTCCAACTAGAATTGATCTGAGCAATCGCAGAAGAGTGTAGTTATAAAGTATCGAGTACAAAACATGCCAACAAGCGTGTCTAATTTGTAGAAGGGAAGGCTGGCTTTGCTACATTATTACTGTCGGTGCAACAGGCATTCCCTACATCTCTATAAATATTTTATTAAGTCGGCCAATAGAAACCACTAGTTTCAGTTTGAATCATGAAATATATAAATATTTATAACGATAAAGGGAATGCCTTTGTGATGAGAGTATGATTTCTGTTTCGATTTTATTGATAATCTCATGTCAGAGAAATTGCTATACATTTCCCTACAAGTAAATTAATTACTACTACAAGTGTATCAACATTTACATAAACAATATCATTCATGAGAACAGTAGTAAGATTGAAAGTGATAGTGAATTTATATTACAAATACATACAAGATTGGTCTATGATACATACCCAATTATTGTTTTGTTTCTTGTATTGCTATGAAGCTACACTCTTCCACTTTGCTCTCTTACTGTCATTGCCACTATGCTCGCCATAGGTTGAAGTAGTGAAAAGGGAAGCAGTATTTTAAAATGCAATTAAGGAGGTTTGAGCCAGATTGAACACATGTCATGTTCGTCACACTTTTGAAGGATACCGGAAATGAAAAAAAAAATTGGGATCACTAAACAATGTTTCCAAAATGTCATGGAAAACATGAACTGGCATCACCGGCTTCTATATTGAGACTTTCATCATATCTCAATTTTGCTTGGCAAGAGGTAATTTTATAAAAAATTATATTCATATGAATCCTAATGGAAAACATCAACATGATTTGTTGAATTTCCAGGGTGATAATTGTTTTTCCCATTTTATAGAATGGATGATTTTTCCCCATAATGAATTGTGTACGTGTGCAGTAGCATGCTCAGTTGTGCAAAATTTTAATTTGGCTCAAACTGCCTCAATACATTTTAGGTTTTTTACTTGTAATTTATTGAAATTATCTAATCTCTAATTTTACTAATTCAAGATGTTTCTAATTTAAAACAATTGACAGTATAGGAAAGTTAAGATTCTGTTTGAGTCAAATTCACTAAAATTACATCTAGCTAGTTCAACATCTTTTACAGTATTCATTGTTGGTAGAGGCCTTTCCTTAGCACATGAGCATGTTCCTTATTTGACGACAGTTGCAAACATTTCTCACCAAGTCTCAATTTTCAGATGAAGACATGCAGTTTAAAAAAGCGTATTTCATAAACCAGTCATACCAAGCAATTAGCGGACCACTTGGTGAATTGCCACATACAAACCATTCAGGAAAAGAAACAAATATGTACCTTGGATTATGCTAATACCACATGAGATACCAGCCTGAAAGACTTGTGTAGTGACTGCTGCATTATACAATAAGTCATACAAATATACACACTCCACATACAACATTGGACAGTTTTGGCTGGATGTAAATACTACACATTTCAAATATATCAAGCATTCAAAATATACTTGTAAATTAATGAAGAATACGCATAGCAAAACTATTTTAACTACGCATGTATTGTGTGTATAATTTGATGAGGTTTCAAATTTGAAATCGGTTTGGTAAACCCACTCTTAAAACGTGGTACATGTAGTTTAAATGAGAAGTTCTGAATACAAGATCACCAGTAACTATTTACAATTTGAAAATTAATTATTCTGCGGGTCCATCAGTATATTACAACTGTGATAATCTGCAGGTTACTCATATAATATAATTTGAATTATATCAAAGTGTCCCAATAATATTTCTATGCACATTTGGGTGGGAAGAGTACCAAAAAATTCTTATGAGAAATAGACCGGTACATACTTGGCAAAAGTAATAACATTGTGATAGTGCAATATTACAAGAACTGTATTAATTAATATAAAATACTATAAGCAAAAATTGGTGGGAAAATAATTAATAGTATATAATGAAAATACAACAGGTAACTGCACTATCAAAGTAACAGAACTTAGACAGTATACTGGTAGACTAACCATCAAATAAATGTAAATGCCTTGTTAATTTCATTTAATGTTAAGCCAAATTTTAATTTGTATGTATGTTTAAAAAGTGTACATGCTTATCACTGGAACCTGATTCAGATTTTAAGTGATTGACAGGAGTGCTTGAAGATAATCTGAAAATTTTTTTTTTTGTCATCATAACCACAAGACTAAAAAAATATACAAGCATTGAGTACAAAAACTAAATTGGCTGATATTATGTCAAATTGTTTGAGTTATATTGAAATGACAAGCAACTAGTTTATGAAACAATGACAAAGCCATTTTTGCCACATATACCTTCCACTCAATCAACAATGGGGCAAGGATACACATAACTATACTACATGGACAATCGACTGTGATTGACCCACACAAGTACTAGTTTTTGATCAAGTATACTAAATTTTGGCAGTATACTAAATTTCTGTCCAGCTGTGTAATTTACCAGGATGACATTTAAACTGTTTTTCATTCATAATTAGTAAATTATTGTCTTAGCCCTGAATCACCAGCTAAAATTTTACTAACCAGGTAATAAAACAAAATATTGCCATTATATTAAAATATTCATCACGGAAGTTAACCAGAGTTTGGTAGAGAAAAAGCAATGAACAGAAGAAATGCACAAACATCTAATTACAAATAAGTTAGTGACACTATACTTTTGGGTATAGAATATAAGATGACACAGACATGATTTAGTTACTGGCAGAAATATACAGTAAAGATTAAAGATTAAACACTCATTCTTATTGATAAATAACTAATATGTTTTTCCTTAATTTCTAAAGTGAGTTTCAAATAAACATCTGCTGTAGTGCTATGTGCATTAGATTTTTGTTATAGTTATACTGGCTGTATATAAAAAACTTCCACATATCTTGGAAACAAAAACAAATAAATTTGATGCCTTTCAAAATTAATATATACATACTTCATACAGATTCATCGTAGTACTCTATGGTTTAGTTACACTCAAAAAGTATTTTATAGAAGATACAATTCAAGGGAGTCATTTGTGGTTCCTTCTTACTGGAGGCATTTCAAAATATCCTAAGCAATCTGACAATATTTTTCTCTTTTTCAAAAAAATTTATTTTATTATATTTACATTGTAATTAATTAACGAATTAAATAAAGAATTTGATACCAGCATAAACTGATTTCAGTATCAAAACTGCATAAAACAAAATAAATAAAATCTAGTAAAACAAAATATCAAGGTCAAATGTCTGTTAACAGAACAAAAGTTTTTTACCTTGTTAATATTACCATGGTTTCGGTAATTTTTTTTCTCAAAAATGGAAGATACCCGCCTGTACACACTGGCTACAGCAATATCTAAAGATTAACTTAGCATTCTTTCAATCTCAATAACTTTTTAATAAAAAAATTTGTGATCAACAATCTCCATCAGACTCTTGACAGTTGTTTTTCTGCATAACAAGGGGGATGTCACCAAAACTCTTAATACTCTCCAAAAGATTCTCACATGTGTCTTTGTCATCCTTAAAAGGAAGAGAAGACTGGTAATCATTGTTCTGTTTAACTGCCAGTTGCTGATAGTTGCAATTGGTAGGGACGGATTCATTACTATTCGAATGGTGGTTTTTGTCATTTACAGATAGTCTTCTTGACGATTGGACGCTTGATGAATACTGGTTTCGACTATTGCTCATTTTTATAACACTTCTCGAGGTGAGCACAGAACGCTCTTCAAGTCGGCGACAGATCATTGAACAATCCTTCTTGAACTGGTTGGTGAAAATAGCATATAGGAAGGGATTGGCACATGAATTGAGTGGGAGAACAAAGATGGTCAAGACTTTAGCTCCATCTAGTGATATCAGTGGCGTGTGAAACATTGATGTAATGCTGAAGAATGCTATGGGTGCCCAACAGGCAAAGTCAGTAAATACTAGCAAAGCCATTCTTTTCGCAACTCTTGAGTCATTGGAGTTCCAGGCTTGCGAACCAAGAATTGAACAGTACATTTTCAAATAACAACCAACAATGATAACAAACGCAAGAGCATTGAGAGTCATGATACCCATCACGAAGCCAAGCGATCTTGCAGGACTAGTCTCAAAAGGTAGACAAATAGCAAACTTGGTATAACTGCTGAATCCAACCAATGGAAGAGTAGCACAGAAGAGTGAAAGCAGCCACCCACCTGCCATTACAATACTAGCCGTCTTTAATGATAATCGTTTATTAAGGTGCATAGCATGGGTGATGGCATAATTTCGCTCCATAGTGATGACAGCAAGAGTGAAAACAGACAGTTCACTGGATAAAACAGCCAGGAAACCAGCAATCTGACAACCTGAACTGTGCTGCCAGATCACAGCATGTTTTTTAAAGTCACCAAGAGTGGATGCATCAATGATGGCTAAAAACCCAAGGTAGATTGCCATGCAGAAGTCAGCACAAGCCAGGTTACAGATCAGAAATCTTGGCACGCACATTTTTGTTCGGCTTACCACGATGACAAAGATGACAGTACCGTTGCCAAACAAAGCTAGCAAAAATACAACCCAGACACCACATCTTAAAGCCCACCAACCAAATAAGTCATCACATGGTGTAAATGGAGCTACAGAAAAAAAAGATTACACATAAAAAACATGAAAAGCACTAGATGAATTTATGAGATAAGAACTACTTATCAAAATACTGATCTGTCATATTCATATTGAGTAATAATTGTATATTATTGGGAGGTCACAAGGAATGGCCATATTGAGTAATAACTGTATAATAATGGGAGTTCATTAGGATTGGCCATATTGAGTAATGGCTATATATTGTACATGGTAACATACTTACTAGGATAAGGTAGGCACTCAATAGGATTATTATTGTAGGCAGATATATCTTCAAAGTCGCCAATAGTAAAATCATCATTATAAAAGTCTGAGTCCAACTCTATATTGTCATTTTCCATATTATAATTATAGTCAATGTTCATGACATCAGAGATATCCGTGAAGTGTTCCAATGATACATTATCTGCTGGTTATGGATGACACACAATTACAGTTATTAGTACACATATATTGATACAGAACACAGTGTACTATCCTACACAGACCCATAATGATTCTCTTGCAACGCGATTGACTTTCAGAGCTGCTGATGATTTTTTTTTTATGAACACCAAATATTTAGGTTTTCATCTTGGAGCCTCACAAAATATGATTGATTGTATTTGTGTTTTACTGTATTTGAAGTGACTCAGGTTTATAGCTATAATTAAGGTCTAGTTAAATCAAAATTAATTGAAATGTGGTTTCCATCTAAAACAAACGATGTGAAGGCTCACAAATGAATTACATCAGCAGTGAAAATAGTAATTCGCCTAAACTATAACATTGGGGTCTGTATAAAACTGACACGATAGATGAGTATGAAGTATGTAGAAATCTATCACACTTCATTCTGATGCCATTTAGTACAACTAGCAAGATCACTGACTACAGCATAGGCACATAACTATGACGTACAAATCACAATTGCCACAAACTTCATTTACAGTAATGGAAATCATATTGCAATGCAAGGCTGCATAGTAAATATACCAGTCTGATAAAACAACTACTAAAAGTAATATAAAGCATAATTGTACTACATAAATGCTGAAAAAACACATTGTGCATTACATATTTGCACAGCAGTTGGAATAAAAGCATCATTCAATTAAGGGACTTTTTAAAAAGAAAAAAGCAACTCTTTAACAAAAAAGAAACTTGCTTTACTTTCTTGCAAAAACATTTGACCAGAATTGGATGGAACCTGTTACATCATTTGAAAATTTAATGTCTGAACGAAGAAAATGGTAATATACAAAATTACATTGTCAAAACTCACTATTAGGATTTCAAGTGAAATGAACAAATCAAAACACATGTTTCTAAGCTTATTTGCAGATGATGTTGAATGGTGATCACATGGTTGGTGGATTGTTATAATATAATAGGAGCCAATTTAACCTGATCAATTCAGAAATGCACCACAAATATCACAATCTTTATTGCATTCATTCAGATTATTCCAGTTCATATCTGTACCTACGTGGTGACAAATCAGGATTTCGGAAATGATGTATATTTGAAGGTAGACCAGTACTAGGCGAATTATGATGACCAAATCAACATATGAACAATGAACAGAGTAGTTCATCAGCATAGAAAAAGTAGATATGAACTGGGATAGCCAAAGCATGCTTGTTTATTTTATACACCACACATAGTGCATGCCGCAATTGAAATGATCTACCTCCCCAAAGAGACCTGCTCAAATTAGCCCACATACTTATTTCTGCATGAGAACTTAACCACTCAAAGCTTTCAGTAATTGCAGAAAGTGGGTCTTCACTCTCCTCCTCCATCTGCAGGAACTCACAGCAATGGTATTCATACTCCAGGTATAGACGAGTAATCTGGGGGAATGATTTGGCTGATGGAAAGTCATGAAGAGTCTCTGTACCTTGCGTCTTCAAAAATACAAGTTTTTTGAGGCCAACTGTTGGTAATACACGGAACTTGTTTTCTGATAAGTTTCTGGAGAGGCATAAAATTGCATCATTGCATTTGTTATTGTAATGAGATGAATAAAATTATAAAATACACACTTTCAACAAATAACAAAACACGATGACAATATTGAGAATAAGAATGCATCACTTGCATAATTATGTATTATTTCTTCACAGAAATAATCATCCAGAAGTCTGATGTTATTGAAGTGTGTTTTAAATTAGTATTATAAAAGTTCTATAATTACGTTCTAATAACTGAAGCAAATTCATGAAAGTTTTGATTTAAGTTATTTATTTTAACAAAAAAATGGAAACAACCATCCCATTTTTGCATGAACTGTATGTCAAAGACAGCATACATATTTTTGCATGCATTTTTGCTACCAAAACATGGATGCAACATTTTGTTTTGATAACTTTTAACTAAATAGACATAACTTTCTACTGGCTTCAGATAAAAAATCTTGGTACTTGAATAGTTATTCATAGGAGTGCTTATAATGATTAACTGACCATAACTATTTTCTGATAAAGTGGGAGGGTCTTCAACGGCGTATGCACAGGAATTGAGTCCCAAGCAACAATAACAACACACGCTAAAAACACAAAGGATTATGGGTAGAGGCTTGTTTGTAAACAATGACATGCTATGGCCAACTGAGGTATGCGCAGGTGACGACTCCCGTGATAAATAGTTTAATATGTATTTTATTGGTATATTTGCAAATGTGTATTACAAATTACTCTTTAAACAGTTTGGGAGATAGGTTACCAAAGATATTGATTACAAGATAAATGATTTGCCATATTGAACACATACCATACTGCATATTCCCTCAGGGACCAGTGACCTTTGAATGTGATCAGTCAAGTAGAAACGTTCTACATTTTTTCATCCGATTTGGACTACTACATTTGTACTTTCAAAATTTTTGCATGATATTTTAACACAGAACATCTTTCATTCCAACTCTAGAAAAATTTATACTGATGAATAAAGTGACCAAGTTTGATAATTTTTGGATTAGAATTACTCAAGTTATCATGTACACATTGACAATTATTAACAACAATGACAAAAGCGACAACAACAACGATGTCAACAGACATTTTCCCCCATTATACCTTTTCATCTTTGATGATATGGGCAATGTAACAATGCATTTTGAAATAGCTTGTCAATGAATGTCAAAGATAAATTACTGGTATTTCTACATTTATGGTGAAATGCAGAAGTTACCCAGGATGAATTCTATCCATGTATCAGAAAGCTAGGGTTGTTTGTCTAGTATAAAAAGATGCCTTCACACACATATACAACTAGTAATAAACATAGTTGAACTCTGGTGACCTTGCCCTTTGTTATATAATATTATGCCCTTCATCATAGTTTGTTTCAATATGAATACACTGTATGCATTGTCTTAATTTTGAATACAAACAAGTTTTGGGGTAGAAACTACAGTGTGGAAGCAGTCTACCGAATGTCCTGATAAATGTAAATATCTTACAAAAACAAATGCCTCATCTCAGAAAAAAAAGTGCTGCGTTTAGATTCATCAAACATCTTAGCTGGCTTTTGTCCATATATTTTGTACAGGTGTCTGTCAAAAATTAATACTTCACTGAGACAAATATGAACTGCCTTATTATATTCAATGTGTGACTACTGTATTAATTGAAAAGTAACAAAAATGCTTTGTATGCAAATCAACTTAAATACGGGATTCTGTCGTAAATTCGCCGTAGGCAGTTAACAGCAGTTTGGGTTTTTAAAATAATAAAATGGGACCAAGAAATCGCCGTTTTGGCAGTTTTCAATGTTGTTTTTTCTAATATTTTGGCGTAATTGTTCGGACCTTTCAATCTTTCTTGACGCTTAAAAATTATTCAAGAGCATGTTTATTGTGACTAGCATGAATAGGTAAGCTTTGTTTCGACAATGAGCTGTTATCACTGTAAACAATGTTAAAATATTCTTCTAATGCTCAGTTTATCTTTTGAAAACAACTATTTTTTGATTTGAAAAAAAAAATCATGCAGTTTTCCTATAAAAATCCAGCAAACTTCAGCAAATCTCTTCTTCGGTGCATTGCGTTGCGTTCAATAACATTAACAAATTTAAATGAGCTATGGTAATTTGAAAATATTTACATCATCCAGCATTTTGATCAATTTGACCTATTAGGCCAACTCATGCAAGACATGGCGGGAACCTGACAGCATCAAGCGTTTATATGTGACCAGAATCATTTGCTGAAACTAAGTTGAATTTTATTTGCATTTCATAACAATTCCACGAATTTATTTTTTGTACATTATTAGAATCACTACTGAGTAATAATCAACAATTGTGAAATGCAGCATGACCGGGATTGCGCAACCGTGATCATTTGCTGCTACACAATGCAGTTGTGTTCGTTTTTATTTGAAACTTCGTTTAGAATGTACCTTCGTTACCAATAAAATAAAATAAAGTTCGTTAATGTGATTTTTTTGGAGAAAAATGGCACTGGGTGACATTGTAATGAATTTTTAGGCGGTCTACTTTTTAGTTCAGAAAGAAAATCAAAGAAAGCTTAGAAAGAACTCCCATGTGCTGAGAGTATTGAAGACACATTAAAAATTATTTGTACTTGAATTCGAAATATTGATGAAATAGCTGAAAACTAATTAATGTAAATCAGGTAACTGATATGAACAGATTTGAGTGTAACACTAATAAGGCCTGCGTAATGTAATATCTATGTACCAAGTTTCATTGAAATGTGATTAGAACAAAAAAAGTATGGATTTATTATTAGGGAATTAATATGAACAAATTTCAGCCAAAATTAATCGGGTCTGTCTATTGTTCTAGAGCATTTATGTACCAAATTTTATTCAAATGTGATGATCAGTAATTGAGATATCAGTGTTAATTATTTTAATTAGGTGATTAATAAGTATAAATATTTACCAAAATCTAATTGGGTCT